ATGGTGAAAGGTATGGGTCTAGTTTCATTCTCCTGCATATTGATATCCAGTTCTCCCATCAAATTTTAAAAATTAATATCCTCAGAGAGACCCAAGTGGGAATACTAAATCCAAATAGGCTGTTATAAAAAAAGATATTCACGGACTAAGAAGGGTTTCTTTGAAATTAAAAATTATCTGGCAAAACAGTTATTTAGTAGAAGAAATGAATACTAGAATGGATATGGCTGAATTTTTCTTTATCTGGAAGATAAAGTCTCATAAATAACTAAGATTGTAAAATAAAAAGAAAAAGAAATTGAATACACACAAAAAGGAAGAGAGTAATTGAAGGAGAAATAGTCATTTTTTTTTCTTTGAAAAAGGGGAAGTTTCCATAAACTAAATTGCTGAAGAAAGACTCCAGTCTTCAGATTGAAAAGATCGACTTAGTGCCAGGCAGGAAAAACAAGCAAAAATATCTACATCTATACACAAATTCAGACTTGGTGTTTTCAGAAATTAAAGGAAAGAAAAAAGTTACAGAAGAGCGAGGATGACACCAGCATTAGACTTAACACCATCGACTAAATTCTAAAAGAGAATGGAACAAAGCCTTTCCTGCCTTCAGAGGAAATTTTTTTTTACATTTTTTATTCTGGATTTCTACATCCTGCAAACCTAGCATTCAAGTATGAGGGTAGAGTAAGGACAGAATAAAGACATTTTTCTTTTAGAAATGTCAGGATTCAGGAAGTTTATTCCCCATAAACCTTTTCTGGGGAAAAAAAAAAATCACATTGTTATATTTTACAACAAAACAAAAGATTCTAAGAAAGAAAATAACATGTTAAAAATAATGAGGAAATAAATCATTATAATTCTTAGTTAAATATAAATTTGTGTTGATAATATGGCTTTCAAATTTAATCAAATCATTAAGAAAGATTTCCTTTAAAAGTAATAGCATAAAATAAGATAAAACAGATCATATTATCACAGTAAGAATCTGGCTCTAAACTACCAGATGATTGAAAAAACATGTTAGGTGGTGGGAGGTAATAGGTAAAAACATATTAAAGGCCTTTCCCTTTCCTAGAAAAGGATGTTATAAATACTAATTAATTCTCGGAGGTCATTGAAAATATAAGTGTAAATGTAGAATTTAGTGTTATCATTGGTGAGATACCATTCTGATGGATAACATTTCTACTTAGTGCTGCTATTATGTGTAAATTGTGTCCTATCTTCTCATAGACATCAACTCCAAATCTGCCTGTTAACCTATTGTGTTTAAGAAATATTCCATTATTTTTGTATTCATTATTCCTGTGCAGGCTTCTGTCCTGAGTATCTGGCTGTTCTCCCGTGCTAGCCACCTAAACTGAACCACATTTGAACTTTAAGCACAACCCCGCCTAACTCTTTGTCCTTGGCCCCAAGGTCTGGACTAGATCCAAGGCTCCATAAAGAGCTCCTCCTTGTTCCATTCCTCTTGACTTTCACCTGCCTTCTGCATGCTCCCCACCCCCACCGATTTAGTTTCTTTGAATTATCAAGAAAAAAAAAAAACCCAGCCCCCTTCTTACTTGTCTTGAGGGAAAGACAGACTCGGGGAGAAGAGATCTCTGTTCACTTCTCTTACCAAGAACTGCACTCTCCTTCCTTATGCATTTGGAATTTAGGTAACATGAGCATTTGAAGAGTCTTAGGAAGTGACATGAGCAGTGTGGCTAATTAGAAAACAAACAAGCGGGTGGCTAGTTAAGCTATTGCAATAGCTGAGATGAAAATAATTAGAATTTGACTTAACACAGTGATAGTGTGAACGGAAAGAAGATTGGTGAGT